ACTATGGGCTGATAGTGTCTCTCCGCGGACGAACACTATTGCGTCACGTGATCAGTTTAAACCAATAAGAATCGGAGAAAATTTAGTGGTGAACTATATTAATAGAAACACGATTTTAACCAATAAGCGCGCGTATTATCTTAAGACTGTTTTCTAAAGATTGTTAACAACGGATCTATCAATGTTACTCGTACATCCATGTGCAGTTACAACAGGCCTGTAGCTGCTTCTCAAGCCAAGTGTAAGTTTTGGTTGTTAACTGGCTCTTAAAGACGATTTATTTCCCGAGAGAATTTGGAATGTTCTTTTCGTCATTCGAAATTGAAGTTTGAACTTATACGGCAAATATCTGAGAATGGTCTGCTTATAATAGCCCGTTATACTGGTTAAATTACTATGCATGAAACAGCTCACACAATAACAGTGATCCAACATCCCCCATTTTAAATGAGCGCGAAATTCATTTTGCGAGTGCAATGCAACGAGACCGTTCGGACCCGTCGCTAGGCTTTTGTACACAATGCTGGAGCATTTTAGTGAGGCAAAAGCATTAAGCATTATTCGAGCATTTTAGTGGCATTTTCCCCGGAAAATTAATATTAATACGGAAGTGATTGGTCCCCTTCCCACTTCCTAAATTGTTGAAAATCAGTTTTTATTGCCCTAAAGTCGACAAAACGCGGAATTTTCCAACACTGATTTAGTATTACCCAACTAGTAGACTAATGCAAGTCCTCCATTTTAATTGGCCACGCTACTAGAGGACTATTAGTAATAGTCCTCGAGTAGCGAAATTGGCGCTATCGAGCGTGACGCTTTTTTTCGTTTTATTCCCAAATAAATATTCCTGTAACTTGCGTTTGCTAACTTTATTATTGCCTTTTCTGTCCGACTAGTTGGGTGATACTAAAACAATAGCCCATTCGGCTTCAGCATTTATTCATGCGGAAATAAGTGTTGCGTGACGAACAACCTCCGGGTGAACTGGCAACCGGGCTGACTGGGACTGTGAAACACCGTGGAATGAATCACGAAAAGGAATTTTTGCTTCGTTTATGAAAGGTAAAGGTCTTTATTATGTCGTTCACCGCACGATTAACATGTACTTGAATGTTTGCCAGAGATTGCTGGCAAATTCTACGTTTTCATGTTCGGTTATTCGATTTATCGATCATCCTCGAATTGTTTAGTTGCTTCCTATGGCTCTATATTCAAACCAGGCTCGATTTCCGCTGTTCTCTCTGCTAAGCTCGTTAGAAATATCAGACGTCAGTTAGTATTTGCAGACTGTAGACTGAATGTAAACTGCAAACGGGGGGAAATAAGTAATTGGGGTCAAGCAACAATATTAGCTGAGAGTGCCGACACCGCCGGGTGATATTGGTTCATGGTCAATTGTAACGTCAAATAGATCGATAAATTATATCAAAAACCTGCAAAAACCAATCAGCGAATTAAGTCAAGGAATTGCGATATGATTCAAGATAACTAGAGAAGACACTTCTCCAAGTTTCAGGAGTGCGCGTTATTCCAATTCCGTCGAAATATTTCGCAAAAAATTACAGACGAACGCAGTATGGAGCTGACATGTTGTTGCATGCATACGTAAACTTTATTTGAGTTTCAATAAGTATTTAGCTCTAAGCTAAGAGCTAATTGGCACACTTAGTTGAAGCTAAAAATTGAACAATAAAAATTTCTTAGAAAATATTTAAATATAATTTACAATTCACTATAAAAGATTAAATTATTTACGTTGTTAATTGTAACCTATTTGCTAATTGTAACCTATTAAATAACATCTGGAACTTACTTTGGTTATCTAGGCGACTGATTATCTGTTCTGAACACATAAATAAACACTTTTCCCAATATTCTAACTTCTCAAATGGCTAAAGTTCACAACAAACCCTATCGTAGCTACAATTCAGAAATTCAAAATGTGCTACTTGCTTATTGCTACAAACTTAGGAAGCTATGTATTCAGCTGAAACGTTGTAAACAGATATACATTTAGCGCCTCATATGCCTGACGAGGATAAAAACTTTGGTGGCTCTTTAGTTTTGGATATTAGAATTTGATGAAGTCGCATAAAAACGCTCTTCACCTCCCAGCTTCGATTGGGAACCCTTTTTGGCCCCAGGGTGGGGTGGGCGAAGGGGTTGGGACTGTGGGGGTATTACTCCCATATTTGAGGTTTAGTGGTATGATTTTCAGGCAGTTTAGTCTTAGTCTCCTCCGCAGCCGTTATTAGGGTCGTCACGCAATGCTTCTCCCTCGTTGGTGGGGAGAAGCGTTGCATGACGACCCTAATAACGGCTGCGGAGGAGACTGGTTTAGTCTGGGATAGGGTATTATTTACCAGAAAAGTGTCCAGTGCATGAACAATTTAGCCTAGGACAGGGTTCTTTTCTCGGAGTTCTACAATTATATAGAAATTGAAACTTGAATGTGACTTCGAAAGATATTAGTCAAGTTAGCCTATGTTGGACTACAATATTAGTAATAAAGTTTCTGCATGGAAACAACTAGTCTGGGATGGGGTAGGGATCTTTGTTGCCTAGTCTAGAATAGATGATTTGAGTTGTAATGCGCATTTAAACATATCCATATGGAATTTGTGCACTACAAATTCTTCATTATCATTAGGGTTGCAAACTCTAGTTAGTTAACCATGGTGTAGTATAGGGTAAGGGTTTCAGTCTCCCAGGGGCACATCCCTACCCAAAGATTTAAAGAGTGCCTCCCTCCCCCTAGCCATGAAGTCAAACTTATTGATGCTTTGAAACCAACTTGTATAGATTTGCAAGTTAAATCCAAACCTCTGTGTGCAAAAGGGAGGCGCGGTGGCCTCATGGTTAGTGCGCTCGTCTCCGGATCAAGCGGTCC